GAGAGAGAGAGAGAGAGAGAGAGAGAGATAGAGAGAGAGAGAGAGGCATAGAGCAAAGATAGCTAGATTGGTAATGTTAGATAAAATATTCTGAATAGTGGCAAGGAGAAGTGATCGGAGAATTAGATCCAGGAGAGTTGCTGTGAATCAGTATTAATCCATAGTTCCTTGAAGCCTCCTTACTCAGCCCTCGAGAGATCGTGGTAGATTGTGAAGCACACGGCAATGAGAGGAGAGGAAGCTTTCACAACACAGCAGCCAACAGCAATGGTGTCACCAAAGGAGGGGCGGGGGCGCGTACAACGTTACTCCGTTGTAGCAAACTCAGAAGAAGTGTCACATTCGATCGAAAAATGAGAAAGATGGAGGGAGCAACTTAGGAGTGGGATTAGACATCGACGCGGACAACCCCTCAGGCCTACAATGGAGTGAATTTGCAATAAGACTTGTAAGGAATGCATCGGTGGTTGAGTCGAGAGTTGTGAACCTTACCCACGCACCATGCTCCGAATCAGCGAAGCATTGGTAGGTGCATTGAAATCAAGAGTAGGAGGATGAAGTCACATGCAAATCATGTCATGTCACCAGGGCCTTATCGAAGATTTAGAGACGTATGTTTGGTATGTACGTACAGAAACGTTGCTTGGGTATTTTAACCGGCAATAGTTTACATTTATGGATAATAATTCTCTATTTTTATCTCCCCTTCCCAATGTAATCACAGTATTATACTCTCAATATTAATGTGTTGCAATATTAATCGTCTCACATATAGGATAATTTTTTTTTGTTTCTTTTGATCGTCACGTCGTGGATCCTAACGACAGTGCATTACATGTTTATATTAGTTCGAACAATATGCCCGATAATATAAATACATAACACGGGATAAGATCTAGCTATTATATATGATTTATAACTTTATCTTATTTAATCAGATATATAATTATTATCCTCAACTAATCAGCACTAGGCATATGGACTTTGGTCATCTCATATATAGAAAAGATAGATTGAGATTCCACCTCGAATCCTCAAAATGACAAAAGCACTAATAAGGCATATTACATGGAATATTTTATCATTAATTTTTTTTAATATTCTATATTTTATCATTAAATTTTTTTGAAGTATACTTTTTTTGTTTTAAACTTATAAATTTATCTAATATGAGCATTTATTAATAACCTATATAACAAATGACATTATTGCTAGATGAACTTTTTGAGTTTTTAACACGAGTGTGCTATAGATGTTTTTGACCTTTGGATTAAAATATGAAATAATATATTTATGTTTTATTCCCTCGGATTAAAACGATATACAATATATGTTTTGTTTTGTTTTTTTTTTTTTTTTTTGTCCTTGGACCAAAGCAGATTATGGTATTTGAATATTTTTCTACATTTGCTTGGATCAAAATGGAACCCAAGATAGGGGTAACAATTTTCTTCCTTCATCAAATGAAATTCTTCTTTGACTAATCTAACTTTTTTTTTTTTTTCTTTTGGTTGCAAGAACACTTGGAAAAATGAGCCACATAGAATCAACTTCATCGTATTTGATTGATAATCAAAAGTTATCATATAATTATAGAAGAAATCCATTAAGAATATAAATCGGATAATATATCATCTACAAATTTAAATTTTTAGCCATGGTAAAAAAAAATAAAGATGATTCAAAAGGAAAAATCAGGTGTGAGTCTAATGCTTTTCCCTTATTTTATTTTTGTGAATTGGCTTCAATTGAGCTGCACAGTAAGAATCCGAAATATTAATGCACGAAGCAGAAATGCATTTATGTTTCCATCCTTCCTCGTCATCTTTCTATATTGGATCGAACAGTAATAACATTGCCCGAGTCTGGAAGTTTGATCGCTCATAGTGGGACTGAGGTTGTTTATGGCCATTTCCAATCCCTTGTTTATGCAGCTGCAGTTACTTTGCCAAAGCCAGAAGTGTAACAACACCATCTCTCTCTTTCTCTCTCTCTCTCCATACGTTATCATCCAAATGACCTTTACCACCTTCACTGAAAAGGATTTCACGTTGAACTCGTTTGCCTCTCAAATCATGAGGGAAGAACCGTATGTTCCTCGTGGATGAATAAGACAAGGTTGATCACATGCGAGTTACTCTTGCAATTTTCTTTATTTTTTTGTATAAAAATTAAGTGATAAATATGATATATCGAGTGAGCTCTTCAACTCTCAACGAACGATATTGTCATCTTTCTTTCTTACTAGTCAATATGATGATATTGAATAAATAAATATATATATATATATATATTTATATATAAAACAATTGACTTGGAGGATATTTTATGAGAGCCAGACATTGGTATATGACACATCTTTGTGCCCCTAATATACTTGAAGATTTGTTTTCATATTTGCTTGATCCACATACTCGTGTTCCTTCTTACTCTGAATTGAAATTTTACCTGCATTTGAGTAACATAAAATAAAACATCAATATCTTTTTTCAAAGTGGTACTGCTCTCTCTCTCTCTCTCTCTCTCTACAATTTTACGAGAAGTGAAAAAAAAAAAAGAAAAAGAAAAAGCAGAGAAATTGAGAGAGGCCACAGTGGGAGGATCAAAAGCAACACGAGTTACAAGGTAGCTTTTTAGCTTTAGGCCTTTTTAAGCGTGCTCCCACGGGAAGCAACCGGTCAACGCACGCTGACCGTGCGTTACTGGTCCGTTCCACCACTGCCCCGATGGCAAAACCGTCATTTCATCCCAAATCTTCTACATGTCGTCTCCGCTCTCTCTCTCTCGCTCCTCTGCCACAACTATATATGTGGCCGGCAGTCTTATCTAGCTGTCTTCCCCCCTGAGACTTCCGCAACGCACACCCTCTAGGCTGCCGGATTGTAGGGAGCCATGCGAACGAGAAGAGGCCTCTGCTACCCCAGGACGCAGTGGGAAGCGCATTGGAGGTCGTCGGAGGAGGAGGAGAGGATGAGTAGGAAGAGGAGGCGGCGGCTCCCCCCCGGCGAAGCAGCGGTTGGAAGAAAGGACTTCGGCTGGAAGATGGCGACCGAGGCTGTCTCCGAGGACAGCCCCGACTTCTTCGATGGCCTCCCAGACGACCTGGTCGTCTCTATCCTCTGCAAGCTTATCGCCTCGGCCACTTCTCCCTCCGATCTCATCAGCGTGCTCGTGACGTACTATTCCTTCCGTCTTCCTTTCTCCCTTTGCTTGAATCTTCCGCTCCTTTGTCTCTGTTTTCCTTGATAAAAATGATAAAAATCTGATTTCTATTGATTGATAGATGCAAGAGGCTGAACAGATTGGGATTAAATCCGCTCGTTCTTCACATGGCGTCGGTGAAATCACTTGCAGTTCGAGCGAAGAAGTGGTCGGAATCCGCGCACAGGTTCTTGAAACGGTGCGCCGACGCCGGAAACCTCGAAGCTTGCTATATTTTGGGCATGGTGGGCGTAGTCTCCTCTGTTTGATAGATTAGTTTGGAGAAGATGAGGGGATCAGCATTTGTTTTACCGTGTTATTGTCTGGCTTGGCAGATCCGCTTCTACTGTCTACAGAACAGGGGAAGCGGCGCGTCGCTAATGGCCCGGGCAGCGATGGGCTCCCACGCGGCGGCGCTGTACTCCCTCGCGGTGATACAGTTCAACGGGAGCGGAGGAGCCAAGGGCGACAAGGACCTGCGCGCGGGCGTCGCCCTGTGTGCCCGGGCGGCCTTCCTCGGCCACGTCGACGCGCTGCGGGAGCTCGGCCACTGTCTCCAGGACGGCTACGGCGTGCGTCGGAACATCGCCGAGGGCCGCCGCTTCCTGGTCCAGGCCAACGCGCGGGAGCTCGCTGCCGTTCTCAAGTCCTCGGCAGCCCCCTCCGTGGCGTGGCACCACCACCGTCGCCACGCGCTGGTTTCCGGCTGCTCCCTCCTCAGCGATTTCGGCTGCAACGTTCCGGCCCCCAAGGCGCACCCGGCCAACCGGTTCATGGTGGAGTGGTTCGCGGCGAGGGGTCCCGGCGGGGGGCCGGGGGACGAGGGGCTGAGGCTCTGCTCCCACGGCGACTGCGGCCGGCCGGAGACCCGGCGGCACGAGTTCCGCCGTTGCTCCGTCTGCGGCGCCGTCAACTACTGCTCGAGGGCGTGCCAGGCGCTCCACTGGAAACTGGCCCACAAGGCCGAGTGCGCTCCCATGGGGCGTTGGCTCGAGGCAGATGCCGTCTACGCCGCTGTCGGCGGAGCTCCGCCCGAGGTGGACAATGGTGGTGGAGGGGCGATGTATTGATCAGGTGGAGAGCCTAAGAGGTCCTTTTCCTTTTTCGTTTTCTATGATTTTTTATTTTATTTTTATTTTTTTTCTTCTTCATGAAATTTTCAGTCTGAAATTTTGCTCCAATAGAGAGAGGAGAAAAAAAAAATCAAATAATCGATCGTAATGTGATATGTGATTCCACTAAATCTTATAAAAAAAAATAATAATTCAATCTGTATTGTCGTATAGGATAGATAATAATTCTATATGAACACTTGTATTTTCTTATATCGAAGGAATCCTTTGTATGTGCACTTATACTCGGTGTTCATTAACTTACATTACCTAAATGCTCTTTTACCTTGTCAAACTTGAATTATCTCGTCAAAAGGGCTCGACCAATTCCTTTTCTTCTCCTACATTAATTACTTTTACTTGGGATTCTTAAGCACTAAGCGTTGAAGAAAATATGTGCAACCGAGATAGAAATTAATGTACATAATAACAACGACACGAAAGAAAAGGTTATTCGCCTATCTAATAATTGTTAGGATCGAGAGCACTAAGAGGGGGGGGTGAATTAGTGCAGCGGATAT